AAATTCATCGTGTGCAAAGTTAGCGTATTCCCTTCCTGTTTCTCACTTAATCATGTGAGACTAAATTATCATAAACTTTAATTCATAACAAAGTAATCATATTCATGGAGACTGTAATAATATTCATTAATGCAATATTATATTTATAGCAAAACATTAATGCTGTCACTTGCTTGCAAAAGCTACAATAAATAGAATTATCAATAAAAACAAAACTGCATTTAGTAATGGAAAAATAGCAGTGCTATCTGGTAGAATCAATAATGGCAAGTTTCCTACTCGCTTATTTGTTGAAATCCATGCTTCACTTAAGCTGCCATACACAAGGAAAACGAGAACATCAACTTCCATTGCAACCGAGTCTGGAATGAGAGAAGGGAGATAAAATTACCTAATTACTAGAACAAGTAAGTTCCTAAGGAATCAAAAGATATGCACAAATATTTAAAAAATATTTGAAGTTCAATGCATAATTGATAAACAGTGCATGGTAAAAATTTAAAAGCAGCACAAGTGGTACAATTTTTTTAATTCCTTTTAAGTTTCGGTAATTATAATTTAAAGACAGACATTACTGCATAGCCAGTAATTTTCGTGGGTTGCAAAGTTCATGGATTTCGCGGATTCCTTATTGATTCATGAAAATTAATTTAATACGGTACCTGCATGGTACACGTGGTAGAATTCACGAAATTAAAATCTGCGAATTGGATTGTTAGTAGATTTTGCGAAATATAGGACCCAAAAAAATTACCAGCCATACGGTATTATATGTACATGTATTACAAAAGGCTTACTGATACTGCATTGTGTCCATTCTACAGGTACAATGGGTAACAAACAGTAGTCCCCCAACTCAACAGTCAACAATCATATGATTAACACATGTCAGGCTGAGGCTGTCCTTGCCTGTAGCCAATCTATAATAAAACAGTCAAAAAATTATAGCTACATGTACATGACATCAACTAACTTTCTCTAACACAAGCATCCGTGACTACAAGACGCACCTAAA